CTGACTCTTTTGAACTTGTCCCCACAGCCTGCCCCGTGGGTCTTTGGACAGGCAGCCTCCAGCCCTTCTTCCTTGGGATGTAGGACCACCTGGTACCTTGCGGGGACTGGCCCTAGAGCCTATGGAGGCATCAAGGGCACATGTGATGCCCCTAAAAGAGGTATCAGGGAGGAAATAACAGTCATTCCTAGCCAGCTCTGGGGGGCAGCCGGAAGGGTTAGGGCTGGCAGAGGTGGGGCCAGCACTTCCTTCTGCATTTCCTGCCATTGTTCCCCAGCCCACTTCCGGGAATTCTCCCTGTCTGTCTGGGAGGACTTTGCCAGCAAGCCAGGCTCAGGTGGTCCACCTTTACTCTGGGCCTCTGGCCAGGGCTCCTGAGACCAGCTTCAGCCGTACTGTTTGGTTTACTACACTGCTGTCGGGCCTGGCCTTCCTGCTGCCAAAGCCAGACATCTCAGCTGCAGACACTGCCCGCATCTGGAGGGTCCTGGGGCTGTTGGCTTGTCCACCTACTTGGTCAAGTCACCCTGCTCCGCTGCCCAGGATTCCCATAAAAGACAGAGTGACTCTGATCTCTTATGTCACAGGGACTTCTGGATTCTGAGGACACTTTGATTGCCATACTGGGGACAAGTGCTACTCCCATGATAGTCCTTAGGGTGCACCTTCCAAGAGCCCCTGCTTAGGGAAACTTCCTGCAGGCACCAGGAGACAGAGAAGCCCACATTCTAGAAAGCTTGACCTTCGTGGGACTTTAGAGCCCTGGAATGCCTCCCTTTCACTCTTTCTTTAAAGAAATAAATGTCAAGCCAGGTGTGGCAGCACAGGCCTTTAATCCCACTTGGTGGAAAGCGGCAGGCAGATCTCTGTGAGTTCAAGGCCAGCCTGGTCTACATAGTAAGACTGTCTCAAAAAAAAAAAAAAAAAAAACCAGAAAACAAAAAACAAAAAACAAATTAAAAAAATGTAAGAGAAGGGCTGGGAAGATGGCTCAGTAGTAAAAGCTGTTTAAGTGTGAGGACCTGAGTTCAAATCCTCAGAATCAGTGTAAAAGCTGGATCCTTATTTTGAGCATCCATGATCCCAGTGCTCCTACAGGGAGACGGGAGGGAGAGGCAGGCAGGAGAATTCCCAGGAGCATGAAGGGCAGTTGGCCTGGAGTATGGAATGGAAAAACAGCAAAAAGAGACCCTGCCTCAGGTGAGGTGGAGGTGAGGACCAACAATATGGCTGTCTTCTGAATGCAACACACATGCACAAATACACACACACATATACACACACCAACACACACACACACCAATACACACACATACACACACACACACACACACACACACACACACACACACACACACACGTTTATTGCCTTTCTAGCAACGGAAATTGTAAGGCGACTGAGAGCATGCCTGCCCTAGGAGGGTGCAAATACATCTATTTTATTACCAGGGAGTTTAATAATTATTTATTTGTATAAGTTTACAAGTTATTTATAATTAATTTGAGTGGGGAGGATGAGCATGCGCATGTGTACGTTCATGTGTGGAGTCTGGAAGACAACCATGAGTGGCATTCTTAAGAGGGACACTGTCCACCTCCTTTGAGACAGGATCTCTCATTGGTCTGGAGCTAACTGGTTAGGTAGCCTGGCTGGCCAGTGAGTCCCAGGATCTTTCTGGTCCTCACATCCTAACACTGAGATTACAAGGCTGTGCTGCCACACTTGGCATTTTACATGGTTCTGGGGATCACACACGGTCCTTACACTTGCCAGGCACTCTGTCATTGAGTTATCCATTGCTCAACATTTATTGACGTTTATCCCCCTGTTTATTTCTATGTGTGTTAAAATACACGTACAAAAAATCCACCATTTAAGATAATTTTATTTATTTAATTTATTTATTTTGAGACAAGTTCTCATTGTGTAGCCCTGTCTGGCTTGGAACTCTCCCTAGGTAGACAAGGCTGGCTTCGAACTCATGGACATCCGCCTGTCTCTGCCTTCCCAGTACTGGGTCTAAAAGCATGCACCATGATGCCACTGCATTTTACCAGTTTTTAAATGCACAGTTCAGTGCTACTATCATACCAATCCATCTGTGGATCTTTTCCCTCTTCCAAGCAGAAAGCCTGAACCTTTCCTCCCTCCTAGCTCCTGGCAACCTCCATTCTGTTTCCTGTGCTTGTGACTCTGACCAGGTACTCTACATACTGGGATCGAATGACATTTGTCCTGTGTCTTCAACACTAATTCTTTTTATTGTTATTTTGGACAGTACTAAGCACTGAACCTAGTAGCCTCATGCATGTAAGGCAAGTACTCTACCACGGAGCCCCAGCCCCAGCTGTTCCAAGGCTAGTCCCAAGAGAAGTGTCAGGAATTCTTTGTGATACTACATAATATGCCACCTGTATGCATATTTCATTTTGTTTGTCTATCTACCTGCCTGACTTGGTTGCTCCTATCTCTTATTTTTGTTTATTTATTTATTTTAAAATTTAGTGTGTATATATATATATATATATATATATATATATATATATATATATATAAATATAAACTTGCATGAATGTTTGTGTATCACTTGCATGTGTGGGCCCTTGAGGCCAGAAGGTGGGATTGGATCCCCTGGAACCACAGTAACAGACAGTTGTAAACCTCCATGTGGGTGCTTGGAATCAAACTCAAGTCCTCTGGAGGAGCAACCAGAGCTCTTAACCACTGAGCCATCTCTCCAGCTCATCCTCAACCCCATTGTCTTTAACTTTTTAAAGACAACGTCTTGTGTATCCTAGGCTGGCCTCAAACTCATTATGTAACTGAGGATAACCTTGAACTGCTGATCCTCCTGCCTCTACACCCTGTTTGCTGGGATTATAGGCATGAACAACCATGCCTGGTTTATGAGGTGCTGGGGATGGAACCCAGGGCTTTGTGCATGCTAGGCAAGCACTCTATCAACTGACTTACACCTGGGCCCCTCTCAGCTTCTGATGCTTGAGGATTTGCTGCTTGAACGTGCTGTACAAATGTCTGGAGTCAGAAGTAGGGTTTGAGATTGGATTGTATGTCTATGTTTAATGTTCCCGTAGCACCCCCCAATTCTGCCCAGCAGCATGCTCGGCAGTGTTCCAATTTCTCCACACCCCCTCCTTCCTCCTTCTCTCTCTCCCTCCTTCTTTACAATAGCCATTTTCATCAGTTACTTTTATTGTTGCTATGACAGAATGCCTGACGAAAATGACAGGGATGGAAGGGTTTAGTTTGGATCACAGCTTGAGGATGCACTCGGCCATGGTGAGAAGTCACGGTGCGGGAGCTTGACGCAGCGGGTCACAGGGCATCCGTAGTTAGGAAGAGGGAGATGCGCCCTGGTGCTCAGCTCACCTTTTCCTTTTTATGCAGCGAGACGCCAAGCCATGGAATGGAATCACTCACATTTCAAGTGGGTTGTCCCACCTCGGTTAACTCAATCTAGAAACTCCCTCACAGATGTGCCCCGAGGTTTGTCTCTTGAGGGATTCCAGATTCTGTCAAGTTGACAATCAACAATAACCATTGCCAGTCCATCCCTGTCAACTTGGCACCTACACATATCCCCTTTAAGCCAGAACCTTCTAACTCTTTCCCTCATAGGATCCTGGTCTTCTCATAATGCAAATGCATCCAGCCCAACTTTTTAACACCATCCTAGTGGAGATGAGGTGGTGTCTCACCAGCATAGAGTTTCAAAACCCGGCTCATTAAGTCACGATTGCAAATTTCACTCCATGGGTCCATTTAAACCCATATGTTGACCATTATTACAGAACCCAGGGAAAGGATGGTCTCAGATACTGGGCTAACTTTTTTCACTAGGAGAAATAAGAAAAGAAAAAGAAAAAGCAGCGATGAATGTGTCCCTGTAGCTGTCCCCTAGGACTGATGAGGATGTGTGCCCTGACATCTGTGCCCATAGCCTGGTTCTCAGGGAGCAAGCAGAGGCAGAAGCAGACTCCAGTGACAGGTTTCAGGTGACACAAGCCACTTCTTGCCACTGCAGAGGCACAGAGTGGATGGTGAATGGTTTACAACCCAAGGAACAGGACTGACGGTCGGTTGTCACTCCTTAAAAGGCTTTCCTCGGCCATCCTGCCGGCGGCCCACTCCTTCCCAAGAGCTCAGCCCTGTAGTGGTCTCGTCCCTCAGTGAGAAGTGTGGTCTCAGGTGTGTGTGTCGGATGTCTGATGAAGGAAGGGGTCTGTCCCCTAGACCCAGAGTTGTTTTCTCCCTGCATCTGAGGACAGGAAGCTCCCTTGCATCTGGTGTGTAGTTGGTGCTGTGCTTCCCGGGAAACTCATGTAGACACACGTGATGTGGACTGCAGTCGACCGCGGTGTGCGGGCAGCAAAGATGTGAAGATGGGGTAACCGCCTCTGTCTTCCAGAGATGCTGGCCTGGTTAAGGTCTCATGGCAGGCCTGGGGGTGTGACTTGCCTAGCCTGTGTGAAGCCATGGGCTTGCTCTCTAGCACTGGATAAACCGTGTGGCGGGGGACACCTGCCATCCCAGCACTTGGGAAATAAGAATGGAGGGTAAGAAGTTAAAGGTCATCCTCAGCCAATTAGTGAATTTGAGGTCAGCCTGGGCTCCTTGAGAGCCTGTCTCTAAGTAGGTAAGTAAATAAATGGTCTGTCTGATGGGAAGATGCCCCTTACACATGGCAGCAGCGTGGCTAGGCTGAGGCTAGACAGAAGGCGGGCAAGGTTGAGCTTGGGGAAAGGCAGGTCTCTCTGATCTCTCTCTTCTACCTAAGTGTTTTCTTCAGGAGTCTGGTCTCCCTGAGATGGGACCAGGAGAGCCATCTTACATGGGTACCACAGGTACAGGGGAAGCTCCAGAGGAGTCCCAGGGAACTGGCACTCCTAAGTGGATGGGCTGTAACTGGATAGTGGGGAGGTGGGAGAAGAGCCAGGCACATTTGGCTTGTTTTCACCATTGGCCTTTGTCTTCTCAGGTTCCTAGGGGAAGCCAAGATCCCACTCCAGGAGGTCCTCGCCACCCCCAGCCTGTCTGCCAGCTTCAACGCACCTCTGCTGGACACCAAGCAACAACCCACTGGGGTAAATGCCTGCGCTCGCTGCTGCCTGGAGCCAGCTTCCATTTGAGGCCTGCTGGGCCCCTCCTCATGCCTTATGTCAGGGGCCAGCTCCTGGGAGCTAAGCCTGGCTGGCTCTCCTTGGCTATAGCTTAGAAAGGACTCATGGTTGAACCTACAGGGTTCAGTGAAGCCTGCCACACCCTAGCTTGGCTACTTTGGTCACCTCCTGTTCTGTGTTCCAGTCATCCCTGACCGGCTCCTTAGGCTGTCTGGCAGATTGCCCTTTTCCATTACCAGCCCTCTTCTCCAGATGGGGAACGTCTGAGTCATCTGGGTCACAGGTCACCAGGGGAGGGAGGCAGACAACCCTCCCCTGCCCACCTGGGGCCACTCAGGACCCCTTCCTTTTCCTCTCTTGTCCTTCTGACCCCTCCCCCAGCTTTCTCATGCTCTCCTAGTCCACACAGCCCATTTCCAGCCCTCCTTGCTGGCCTCCTGTTATTTTTAGTGGTCTAAATATACCCTGCAGGGTTCTTTCTTCCTGGTCACTAGAATTCTGGGTCCCCCTACATGCCAGGATACACAGGTACACTGCTGATCAGAGCATACTTCTTCCCAGTGAAGCCTGTGGGGCTGTGGGCTGTTAGCCCGCACAGACAGGCTCTGTGTGTGTGTGTGTGTGTGTGTGTGTGTGTGTGTGTGTGTGTGTCTGGGTGTTTGACTGGTTGGGAGAGTGAAGAAGGGGTTAGTTTGGGTTGGGTTGAATGGGTCCTCACTGGGAAAAGAGAGCAGCTGGGGTTCCAGTGAACAGGTGTGTAAATGGGGATACCACCCACAGTTCATCTTCAGCCTCTTCGATAGGAAGGTTCTTCAATGGCCCTAGCCTCTGTATCCCTGGACTTGCTCCCAAGGCATCTTAGGCCAGGGATGCCAGTTGCTTCCTTGATGAGTGTGATTCCCAGCAGAACACCATCCTGGCCCAGATAAGGCCATTCCTTGTAGAATTCCACCTTTCCCTGGACAGTGCTCAGTGATGGCTCTTTTGCTTTAGTGCAGTGTTTTCTGAGATGGTCTCAGACACTTCCTGAGTCACCTTTTGCCTCCGCTTTGAGCTCTCCACTCAGGTAGCACTACCTTTAGTCTACGAGGCCTTGAGAGGCTTTTGCAGCTAGCTCTTCTGGAACTCTGAGATGATTCCAGAGCACCAGAGGAACACCAGAGGAGCTGAGATATCAAGTTTTCTGTGAAGAGCAGCCCTTGTAGTCAGGGATCTGTCTGGTGCTTTCCTGTGATCTCTCAAGTCAGAGCTGGCTCCTCCCCACAGCCTTTGACCAAAGGGTCTTACTTCCGTGCCGAGATGTCTACGTTTCTCCTCTCCAACTGCCGGTGTCTGTGGCACTGATGGCTTCTGTACTTGCTCCTTCCAAACTCATTCTGCCCTGGGAGGGAAGCTCTCAGCCTGGTTTCTGTGCACTGGGCTGAGTAAGCCTGCTAATCATCTGCACTCCCTGTCCTCGCTCTGGCTCCCATATTCTGTCTGTATTTCATGCTCACTAGCTGGGAATCTGTTGGAATTGTCTTCCTCCCTCATCCTCCACCTGATATTTTGAGGCAGGATCTCTCAGTGTTCCTGGAGATCATGGATGTGGCTGGGCTGGCTGATGAATGGGCTTCAGTGATTTCCCTGTCTGTACCCCACCAGCATGGTTAGATCAGCATGCGCTACCATGCCTTGTTTATGTGATGCTGGGGATTGAACCCGGGGCTTCATGCATGTTACTGGGACCTGAACCCGAGTTCTCTGGAAGAGCAGCGAGGGCGTTTAGTCTCTGAGCCATCTCTCTGCAGCTTCTTGTTCTTTTGATGTTTCTGTAATCTATTGAGAATTTTCTTGCCAAAAGATTGTCTAGGCTTATCTTGTACAGTTAGGTATTTCTCCTAAGAGCCCAGCTTGGCTTTTGTTGAAGTAGAGGAAAGATAACCAACTGTGCAAAATCCAGGCTCCCAGGTTCACTGAAGTGGTTCTTCAGCTATAGGAGGACGCCTAGGAGGCTGACAGTGTTGAAACTCAATGCTCAAGTGGCGACACCTGGTGGTAATTTCCAAACATGCAGGGCCAGTAACATCCAAACCTTGGGATTAAAAGGTGCCAGTTGCCTCTGGGTCCTTTCCTCAGGGCTGAGTCCCAGTTGTTGTCTGTCCTGCTTTTGTTAGTCTGTCTTTCCCTCCTGGACCCCAGTCCGTAGGATGAAAACCTGAGAACTGGATACAGTGGGAGCTGGAATCTTCTCAACCCCGGGGCAGGCTTTGCCCTAGGAGTCTGGACGCTCTTCTCACTACTGACATCTGTTATTATGGCCATTATTCCCTGTTGGAGTCACTCAGATGAAGATTATGTTAGTAAACATTTGTAAAGGATTTGCCAGAACCTTGGAAAATGCTTGCTAATACCATGTTTAAAAAATGGAGGTGAAGGGGCTGGAGAGATGGCTCAGTGGTTCAGAGCACTGTCTGTCCTTCCAGAGGACCTGGGTTTGATTCCCAGCATCCACATGGCAGCTCACCACTATTTGTAACTCTGGTCCCAGGGTACAGTGCCCCCTACTGGCCTCCGTGAGCACTGAACACACACGGTGCACAGACATACATGCAGGCAAAACAGCTGTACATAGAAAATAAAATGAATAAATCTTAGAAAGACAGAGGGAGTTGTATCCACGCGGGAGGAATGGGAGGACCCTGACAACTCTGTTCCTGTCTTGGTTTCTTTCCCTGCTGCTGTGAGAAACACTCTGACAAAGGCAATTGAAGGGGGAGGGGCTTTATTTTAGCTCACTGTTAAAGGTGCAGTCCTTCCCGGCCACGGAGGCCAGGCAGCAGGAGCTTGAGGCTGCTGGTCACACACACCCACAGCTAGGAAGCAGAGATGATGAATAGCTGTTCGGCTAGTTTGGTTTTTCTTGGCCCTAGCCCTAGGGAATGGTGTTAGCGCTTTAGTGTGTGTCTTCCACCTGAATTAACCTACTCAACATAGTCCCCCTGAGGCCGCCCAGAGTGGAAATAACCCCTCCCAGGTGTATTTAGGGCTTGTCTTCTAGATGATGCCACCACAAGAGGTTTTGTACTGTCTTAAAGGGAGCTCTTATGATTTGGATCTGGCGGTGGTAGGAAGGCGAGAGATAAGGGAGATAAGTTCTGTGCACATAGGCTGGGCTTGAACTGCTGATGTAGCTGAGGATGACCTTGAATTCCTGGTTCTCCAGCTCCATCTCCCAAGTCCTGGTATTGCAGGCGGCTACCACCACACCCTGCTTTTACTTGGGCTTTTTCCAGACAGGCTTCTTCTGGCCCTAGGGGAGACTCCGCCAGGCCTCTGAAGGCCTAGAGCTGCCAGGCTGGAGGTCAATGAGCTCTTCTGGCTTCTCCTTGGGCTCAGAACCTCATCTCCCTATGGAAAGTGAAGTTGACAGGGAGGAGGTCAAGTGTGACCCCAGACAGCTGTCCCTGCCCACATGAAGGTGCGATCATTGTCTCTCCTCTTGTGTGAGGATGTGACAGGAGCAGGGCTTCCAGGAGGGACGAGGGTAAGAAGGTGAGTGACACCCAAGGGTGAGCTGCAGCAGGAGCAGACGAGAGCCCAGCTGAGCTGTCCATGTGGGGCGGGCTTGATGGTGAGCAGAAAATTGAGGGACATCTTCCCAGAACTAGACCAGTCCTGTAGGAGAGGTGGGATCCCTTATCCAATTCCGGCCTCGTGAGACTTGTTGCCCTGACAACCCCCATTTTTACAAATGAGGAAGCCGAGCCTCTGTGAGGTTACACAACCTGTCCAATGCCACACAGCCCCTGAATGGGGGAACCTGACCCAAGGCGATGTACCCGTAACTGTCTGGCTGTGCTTGCAGGTTCCTGGGTGGCTTTACGACAGGCTCCTGCAGCCCCGACCCTGCTAGGGCTGAACACCTTGCAAGGAGAGGGATGGGAGAGCTAGAGAGGATGCTGGAGGGCGGGTGCCATTTCTCCTGCACACTCACCCGTTGCTAACCCATCTCTTCTAGGCCTCTCTGGTCCTGCAGGTGTCCTACACGCCACCCCCAGGAGCTGTGCCCTTGTTCCCACCACCCGCTTCTCTGGCACCCTCTCCGACGCTGCCTGACATGGACCTGGTGCCTGGTGAGGAGCCCACCCACACCCTACCCTCAGATAGGGCAGGGTTCCCAGAAAGATGGCCAACAGGTCTCTTCAATCCTGGGCTTAGGAGATGGCTAGTGTGGAGACAGAAGTTGTGGGTGGGTGCGTGGAAAAGAAGAGGCAGGAGACAGCGCCCTAACTAGGCTTAGGATGGAGACTGCACTCCCCAAATCCCAGATGCCTGGGAAGGGTGGGGTCCAGCCTGTACTCTCCTGTACTCTGCACAGCTCTGGAGATGAGTGCCACCTGAGGCCTAATGCTCTCTGCCTGGCACCCAGCAGTGACAGAAAGTAACAAAAGAGCTACTCACCCACCCCCCACCCCCATGAAAGAGCCTTGAGCCAAAGTTAGGGGACATGAGTTTCCATCTGGCCTTTGACCCTGAGTAGCTGTGTGGCTTTGGGCTGGTTATTCTGGGCAACAGTTGCTTGTATGTGAAGTGGGCAGACCGAGTGAGTTGGTGAGGTCCTGTGCCCGCCTCAGGCTTCTGCTAGGCCTGTCAAGTGCAGATGCAGGCTGAGGAGCCCGACTTGCCAGTGGTGCCTGGAAAGCTAGCCTGAGGACCTGTGGGCAGCCCAGGTTGGAAGCAGCTGAGACAGTGACTGTTTGCTTAGGGGAAAGTTCTGGAGTTTATCTTCTGGTGAAGGGGGTGCAGAAGCAAGTTACCCTAAAGACTTGAGGAGCCCTGGCCCTCCCTGGGTAACCCGAAGTCTGGCTTGTTAGCCTGTCCGGTGTGGGTTTCTGTGGAGAGGGAGGCAGAGGGAGTCTTGTTGGCTCAGCACTGTCCCGGCCTGGAGATCGCTGGTCTGGGAATCTTGAGCTGGAGAGAGTTAGCTGGGCTAGGCTGATGGAGGAAAAGGACTGTTTCGGGGTCGGGGGAGGGAGGGCAGAGGTGCCCCACTCTGCCTGGTTGGCAATGAGAAGGGCCAGCTGATTCTTAGCATGGTACCCACGCTGGGTGGGTGAGGATATCAGAGGTGAGGGTGGGGCCGCAGAAGGTGGACTTCTCTCATCCCAGCTCCTCCTGCCCCTCTCCACTTGGGCCATGCCCTGCTGCATGCCAGGTGGGGGACAGAGCCGGGCTGAAACTTGGTCCCTGCTCAGTGACAGCACCATGGACACACGATACTCTGGGAAGAAGTGGCCAGTCCCCACGGGTGAGACACGGCCAGACCCTACCACCTGTAACTGTCTCATCTGGCGAGGCCAGAAGGGGCTGTCCTCGGGGATGGGGGGGGTGGGTCAGGGCCATCCTGTCTTCTTCCTGCTCACTAACTGACTACTACTGACTGTTTTCAAGGGCCAGCGTGGCCGCTGTTCCTCTTTGACCTCATCCATCTTGGTGACGGGTGGGCAGGCTTAGGGAGTGGTATCACAGCGGGCGTGCTCTTTGGTCCTTCCTCTGTTGGACTGAGACCTCAGGGCAGGACCAAAGGGACACTGTGCTCATGAGGGACGTGTCCCCACAGACACAGGAGGGGAGGAAGACACTGAGGACCAGGGGCTGACTGGAGATGAAGCTGAGCCATTCCTGGATCAGGGTGGTGCTGCGGGCCCAGGGGGACCAACCACACCCAAGAAGCTACCTTCCCACCCTCCTCCCCACCAGCCAGCGGGAAAAAGAAGAAGAAGCTCAGCCCCACCCAGAAAGCTGCTGTCGGACAAGCCACAGGACTTCCAGGTGATAGAGGGGGACCTCTGTGGCCGGCCGTCTCCTCCTTCAGTCCATCAGCAGTGACGGTGTCCTGTGCCTGGCTGGGTTGTCTAGCCTCGGGACCATGTGCTGAAGCTCCAGAGGCCTCCCATGAAGAAGCTAGGCTGCCCTGGATGCTGGCAGATGAATTGGGAGTTTGTGTTTTGGGCTCTCAAAGCATGTCTTTGCCCAGTCCTGAGAAGTGTGATGCACAAACAAACCAGGGGTGAATGAGGTTAGCTTGGCTCTGCATCCCTTTGTTTGGGGTAACTGGCCTTTGTCCTAGGCCTAGCCCCCTGCTCACCAGCAAGTGCACACCCCCAGTGGCTCCAATAGCAGCAGCAGCAGCAGCAGCAGCAGCAGCAGCAGCAGCAGCAGCAACATCAGGGTCCTCTGAGCTTTTCCAAAAATGGGTGACATTTATTTACTTATTGTGTGTGCTAGGATGGAGCGTACAAGTGTCACTGTGAGAAATGTGGAGGTCAGAGGACGACCTGTGGGAGTTGTTTCTCTCCTCCCACCGGTGGATCCTGGGGTATGAACTCAGACAATCAGACTTGGCAGCAAGTACCTTTACCCATGGAGTCATCTCTCTGGCCTACTGTTCAATGATTTTAAATTATGTTTATATTCATATGCGCTGTGTCTCTGTGTGTGTGCACATGTGTGGGCCACAGCATGTGTGTGGAGGTTGGGGGACAGCTCTCCGCTCATTCTCTGCTAGCATCTCCCTGGCCCTGTTTTGGGTTTTGGAGACAGGGTCTCATGTTGCTCAGGCTGGACTCCAACTCACCATATGGCTGAGGATGACACTGACCTCTTGATCCTCCAGCTCGGCTGCCAAAGTGCTGGAATTAGGCCTGTATGGCCATCATGCCCACCCAAGGTTCTTCGAAAAGTAGACCTCTGTCCCCATTCAGAGCTGCTGGGTCAGCTGCTGAGTCTGAGGAGTTGTGTGAAATGGTGGAGGAAGAAAAATGACCCCAAGTTTGTGGCTAGCCTGTGCTACATACTGAGTATCAGACCAGTCTAGCTACAGAGTCACCTATTTAGAAAAACAATAACAATAAAAGAGTGGGTATTAATGGGGTCTCAAATGGGGTCTGTTTTAAAGGAAAGCAGGACTGGATTTGTCCGGTCCCAGGAGATTTCATACAGGTGTCGTACTTGGAGTTGTCCCGCAGCTCTTATGGGGAGCTCTGGGATTTTCTAGATGTGAGGGGGAGCTTGCTGGAAATGTGCTTGTTTTTGTAGTGGTCATTCCAGCAGCTATTGGTGGTACTCCCAGAAGTCATCAGTGAGTTGGTCTTGAGGTTCCTGACTCTGGGGTCAGCAGGTGGTCTCCCTTCTCCTGGCTTTCAGATCAGAGTCCAAGTGATAGAGGGGCGTCAGCTGCCTGGGGTGAACATCAAGCCTGTGGTTAAGGTCACAGCTGCTGGGCAGACCAAGCGGAGTCGCATCCAGAAGGGCAACAGCCCCCTCTTCAATGAGGTGAGTGATCCCAGGCATGAGGCAGAACAATGGTAGCACTTGAGAATGGACAGGCCATTCTCAAGAGAGCAGACGCCAGGGCACATGTCCAAGAGTGTTCTCTTGTGGTGCCAGCTTTGAATGTGTGAGCCAAGACCAGTGTAGATTGTCAGAGGACTTGGAGAGCCCTGCTCCCCACGATCCAAGCATCCTTGTCCTTGAAATGCTAACCTCTGTGAGGCAGAGATGGGACAGCCAGGCTTATCAGAGCCCTAGCCCTTGGCACTGGTCAGCTGAGCTCCACTAGTCTCAACTCAGGCTTGAACATTGGTGGGTAGCCATAGCTCCTCTGCCTAGCCTGAGGGTCAGAGACACTGATTTCCCCCTTCCATTCTGGACCAACAGACTCTTTTTTTCAACGTATTTGACTCTCCCTCGGAGCTGTTTGATGAGCCCATCTTCATCACGGTAGGTCTCAGCTATGTTCTTCAAAATGTTCAAAATGTTCTTCATGGGCTGTGGGTACTGCAAGCGTGTGATGTGATACCCACAGACATGTCTGCCCTTGTGCCTATAAGCCTGGGTATGTGTGTGTGTGTGAGAGAGAGGTGGGTTGAAGCTTGATTCCTGGGTGATCGAAGGACTCCCAGAAGCTCTGCCAGTGGCAGAAAAATGCCCAGATGCCTCCGGTCAGAGGCCTGGAGTGCCTGGCTTTTGGCTGGCTTCCTCTGTCTGTTCTGTAGCCTCAGATTCCCCCATATTGCTGGTAAGGGTTGTTCGCTAGACCTGTGGGTCCACCTCTGCTGTGTGCTCATGTGATTCTTCACATGCCCTGGATCTCCTTGCGCCTTTGACCCTTGATTTGTGAGGTGGGGATCACGTTAGTATCTACTCACAGGGTTCTGTGAGGTGAGACATTGCTTAGCTCCATCTCTGGAATGGAGACGGTGCCAGCTTCCGGCTGCTGTTTTCTGGGAGGGACCTGGCCAGAGTCACACTCTCACAGGAAGATGTTCTTTCTTTGCAGGTGGTGGATTCACGCTCCCTTAGGACGGATGCCCTCCTTGGCGAGTTCCGGGTAATTGTTCCTTGGAAGTCGTCAGTTCTCACTTCCCCTTTGGGGGCAGGCTGTACTAGGAGAATCTAGTTTCAACCCATCTCCCTAAAAACTCCATAAAATCTCCCAACTCAGAAAAACTTTCACCAAAGGTAGAGAAATAAAACACTATTTATTTTAGGCAGAGTTCTCATCTTCTCGTTCAGGCAGGCCTCAAATTTGTGGTGATCCTGCTGCCTCAACCTCCTGCATGCTGGAAGTACAGAGGGACCAGCCACCAGGTGGCCTCCTTTTTATGATTGAATAAGCGTTTGCCAGAAAGGGATGTGTGTCACAGGCAATCTCTGGGACTGGAAGACAGAGGGAAGTCACGTGGGTGGAGTGCACCTTCCATTACATTCTCGTAGTCAGGGAAGGGGCTGGAGAGCACCCCCACCCTAGCACAGCACCCCACCCCAGCACAGCACCCCACCCCAGCACAGCACCCCACCCCAGCACAGCCCCCCCACCCTAGTACAGCACCCCTGCCCCAGCACAGCATCCCTGCCCCAGCACAGCACTCCTGCCCCAGCACAGCACTCCACCCCAGCACAGCACCCCACCCCAGCACAGCACCCCTGCCCCAGCATAGCACCCAACCCCAGCACAGCACCCCTACCCCAGCACAGCACCCCACCCTAGCACAGCACCCCACCCCAGCACAGCACCCCTGCCCCAGCATAGCACCCTCACCCCAGCACAGCATCTCCACCCCAGCACAGCACCCCACCCTAGCACAGCACCCCACCCAAGCACAGCACCCCTGCCCCAGCACAGCACCCCACCCCAGCACAGCACCACTGCCCCAGCATAGCACCCTCACCCCAGCACAGCACCACTGCCCCAGCACAATACCCCCACCTCAGCACAGTACTCCCACCCCAGCATAGCACCCCTTCCCCAGCACAACACCCCCACTGTAGGCAGAGTTTCTCTGTGCTTTGGCAGCTGCTCCCAAATAACCACAAAGAGGCTTCATATTAATTATAAATGCTCAATCAATATCTCAGGCTTGTTACCAGCTAACTCTTACATTTTAAATTAACCCATACTTCTTACCTATGCTCTGCCATGTAACTCGATACCTTTTCTTAGTATGACAACTTCATTTCCTTCTCTCTGTGTCTCCTCCCAATTCTGAAAGACCCTCCTCCTTTTTCATGTCCTCTTTTTTCTGCAAGTCCTGCCTAACCTCTACCTGTCCAGCTATTGGCCAGTCAGCTTCTTTATTAACCCAATCACAGTGACACATAATCACATAGTGTAAAGGAATATTCCATATTTCCCCCTTTTTTCCTAATTAAAAAGGAAGGTTTTAACTTTAACATAGTAAAATTATATAACACAAAAATAGTTATCAAGTGAGAATTACAGTTACAATATCCAGTTCATTTGCATTTGACAAAATAGAGAAAATACTCCCTCAGCTGTCCTCTCCTGAAGAGTCCAGAGTTTTGTACCTAATTTACTTTTTACCATGATTAGGGAGAACTGTAACTGTAACTATCTAGTCTTCAACCCCACCAAAGACTTGAGAAGGATATAATATTACTTGAGGAAACAGGAAGTGCAGAGCAAGAGACTTCCAAAATTAAGAGATGACAGAAACAGCTGGCTGCCTGGACAGTCACCCAAAGTTCTTTTGTAATGTTGGGGCATCCAACTTTATAGGCCTAGTATATCTGACAGACATTTTTGAGAAACAGGGGATTTTGAAGACTGTCCTACCTTGTGTTGGCAAAGTTTGGCAGTCATGTTTTTTACATCCTGTTGGTCCAGTTTGGACAATATACTGTCAGCAACTGAGGCAAGGGCAAGTTCTTTGCCCACATGGCTAATTTTTGTCGTAAAGAAAACAAACTCCATATGGAGGTTCTTTGATGCCCATCATTTCTTTTTTGAAGTAGATTGGTGCCACCAGAGGCAGACATGTCTCATGTCAAGAAAAGCCTATGTTATTAAAACATTTTAAATGCCATATTCTGTAGGTCTTTAAGATCACCTATCTATCTAAGATATATCTCTGTATGACCTTGAAAATATAACTAACATGACTATAAGGTTGATAGTTATCGGTGATTATTAACCTTTATTTCTTTATTATCCTAAATAGCTTGCAAGGACTAAAACTTCACATTGTATAATTAAATGAGCTGCCTTAAACAGAAACAGAAACATACAGTATAACAAAATTAACTTTAAATTTGTATCAATAAACCAAAATCTGTACCAATGTAAAATATTTTGAGATTAATTGTTGTTTTTTTGGATTAAAGTAGATTCAACAATCTACCCTTTTATCTCATCATTTCTATATCATATCCCCTTTATTCCTTTAGAATGAGAACTTTGCATTTAACTCCTTTGTTGAACTTTTTTTTTTTTACTGTAACTAATAACAACTTGTAACCAACTCCCTTTAAATGATGGCAAACATCCATAACCCATCTTTTGGGAATGTGGGTGCTGTTTTCTCTAGACTGCTTTCTGTTGTCTAGGGGTGCTGACATCTTTAAGGGACCCTGAGAAAATTTAGGATAATGGTTAAGTCTTGGCTGGAGTAGTTTGTGAGGCTGGACAAACCTCTGCCTGTCCAGCTATTGGCCAGTCAACTTCTTTATTAATCCAGTCACAGTGACATGTGTTTACACAGTGTAAAAGAATACTCCACACTCCCACCCCAGCACAGAGTCCTTCTTAAGTACCTGAGGTAATTAGGGTGACCATCTACGTAAGTTATTTTTTTCTTATTCAGAGGAAAAAACAAAACTATGTCCACTATGACAGATGGTTTGATATCCTGGAGCTTGGTACCCTCAGAGGCCAGGCTCCCAGATGCCTCTGACCTTCCTTCATATTTACCTTTTGAAAGAGGAACCTGGATTCTTGAATGGTTCCCCATAGCTTCAAGCTAACTTCCTTTCTGAAAAGATACACCACAAAGAGCTGGAGAAAGTACTTACACTTCTATTTTCCTGAGGTCAGCATGCTAAAGAAAGATGGGGAGTGAACTCTATCCTTGTCTCCACCAGAGGGAATTAAATACCCCCTTTAACTTCCCTTCTGTCCCTGTACCCTGGAAGGGAAGCAACCATTACCCATTTTTGGCTATCTTGTGTGTCTTGGTTACTTTTTAATTGTTGTGATAAGACACCATGATCAATTCAACTTACAAAAGAAAGCATTTAATTTGGGGCTCACAGTTCTAGAGGGCTGTTTCATGACCACCATGTTGAGGAGCATGGTAGCAGTCAGGCAGGCATGGTTCTGGAACAGTTGAGAACTTACATCTGATCCACAAGCGTGAGGCAGAGAGAGCTGAGAATGGCCTGGGCTTTTCAAACCTCAAATCCCATCTTCAGTGGCACACCTCCTTCAACAAAGCCACACCTTCTAATCCTTCCCAAACACTTCCACCAATAGTGGACCAAGTATTCAAATATATGTGCCTATGGGTTCATTTTCACTCCAACCACCCTATCACATGATGTAGTGCTCTGCTCCCTGACCCCATCTTCCCTGTGGGTGTGGAGTGGAGTTCTCATGTGTACCCAGGAGAAGGAACCTACCTTGGCCTGCTTACTTTTCCTGGTGGCCAGGAGTTGGACAATAGACAGTTCATCTCTAAGTACTGAGTCTTGGATTTAACAGACCTTACGAACTGAAAAATTGGGGCTGGAGAGATGACTCAGTGGTTAAGAGCTCTTGCTGCTCTTGGCAGAGGACCTGGGTTTAGTTCCCAGCACTCACATGGCAGCTCACAACCATCCGTAATGCTAGTTCCAGGGGATCTGACTTCTTCTCTAAACTCCACGGGCACAAGACACATATGTGGTGCACAGGCATACATGCAAGCAAAAAGCACTCATACACATGTAATGAAAGTAAATAAATCTTAAAAAAATACATTAGATGGCATTATGTGGCTATCCATTTCAGCTCCTTGGATAGAGTTCTTAGTCTGTTGAAGATTTTATTTCTTTTTATTTTATGTATTTGGGTATTTTACCTGCATATCGTTTGTGCTTTGCTCCTATATATGTACGTTTTTGGTTTGCCCTTTTTTTTTTTTTTTTTAGCGGTTGAAGAAAGGCATTTATTGGGGGTGAGGAAGCACACACATACAGCAGACACACGGAGAAAACGACCCTCTGCAAAGTAGAGAGGGGAACACAGGAAGCCAAAAAAATCCGTTGTTTGATTACATCTCCTCTCTATTTCAGATGGATGTGGGCACCGTGTACAGAGAACCCCGTGAGTTCCTATCCCCTGACCAAATCCTGACATTCTGGTCCTGGAGCTGCTTGGAGGCACTCATTTGGGGGACTCCTTTTTTCTTCCTGATGCTTTCGAGCTTGGAGGTGGGGTCTGCACTTGGAGGGGAAGGAAGGAATTTCTCTTCCACGAGAAGCAAGCCCTCAGGATCATTCTCGGTCAGCTTCCTCCGGGGGGGGGGGGGGGGGGTTATTCCAGAAGGTTATGGCCAGGGCAGCCGGAGCCTGGGCTCCCTTTAGAGTCATGCCATGCTTTTCCTTGCTCATCTGGTTATTTACCAAGGAGGTGGAAAAATAGGCCCGTGTTTGGCTTTTACCACCTCTTGTAGACGTTTCTGGCAATGCTTTTTCTCTCTGACACACAAATGTCCAAAGTACTTTTTGATACTAGATTAAAAACAAATCTCTGAGACAGTTACTGTCCAATATCGGTAGTCACCAATGGTGTTATGATTGCTGGTCTTCCAGATTCCATAAATCTGGCTCTGCTGAGGAACCAGGGCATCCTGTGGAGAGCTCTTGGCCTCACACATCCATGGGGTGCAAAGCCTGGCCCCTCTTCTGGTCAGGTCTCCTGTCTCGCCCTAAACACTCCACCCGAAACTCCTGTCTGGCTGCAGACCTGTCCTTCCTCTGTCTGCTGCAGGACACGCTTATCTCCGCAAGTGGCTTCTGCTCTCCGACCCCGATGACTTCTCTGCAGGGGCCAGAGGCTACCTCAAAGTCAGCCTGTGTGTGCTGGGGCCTGGGGATGAAGCTCCTGTGAGTACCCTCTTCACAGCACCTGGTGCAGCACCGTATAAAGCCCCTGGCTTGGTGTTTTCTTGTCTGAAAAGGGTACATGGTAATAATGCATGCAGAAAATACAAGTAACAAGCAAATGGCTCGGGATTCTGCTGCTTGGAGAGAGCTTTAATTACTAGTGTCACACTCCTTCTCAAAGGGCAGGCCTGTCTAGATTCCTTTGGCAGAAGACAAGTTGTTCTTTTAACATTCAGTCGTGGCCACGCAGCTAGGGAGTGTGTGTGTCCTGGTTCCCACTGCTCTGTGGAGAGCTAAGCCAATTGAAGGACCAAGAGGCAGCAGATGCCCAAGTTCAGGATGCACCCTTCACTGGAGGGTGTGATGCCCAGGGGCTGGTGAGGAATCCTGTGTGTGTGTTTTCTTTGTAGCTGGACAGGAAAGATCCTTCTGAAGACAAGGAGGACATTGAAGGCAACTTGCTTAGGCCCACCGGCGTGGCCCTTCGTGGAGCCCACTTCTGCCTGAAGCTCTTCCGGGCTGAGGACTTACCGCAGAGTGAGTGTGGCACCCCCTTCTGGAGGCCTACAAGAGGCTCCTGCCTGGCTGTTTAAAGCATGGACCCTGGACCACAGTCCATTTCCTTTCTCAGTGCTTCTGTTCCCAGGGACTAACCCCTTGCTCCTTCCCTTCCTCCTTCTGACCCAGCTTCCTCCCCTAGGGTCTGTTAGTGTCGCCAGTGGTACCTGCCTTTTGCTGTCTGGCTGATGTTACGAGCCTTTATTTGACACACACCCTCTTTTTCTGCGGGTGTTAGGTTTGAACCCAGAGCCTCATGCTTGCACTCAACAATGAGGGCCACCCTCAGCCAGAGCAGTTGGGTTTTAATGGAAAGCAATGCATACAGGCAGGCTTGGGCAGCTGCAGGAGCCTTGAGAGCGATAACTGCCCGGTGGCTCCACTCCAGCTTCCCCAGCCTGGTCTGGCGGTCTAATGGAAATGGGAAGTCTTAGACTACACTGGACCTCTTGTGTTTTTTAAAAAGCAAGATTGGCCTACCGGATGTCCTTCAGGTGGATCACTCTGGTCATGGTATTAAGGAAATGCCTCCTGTCTTGTGTCATACCCATCTCTGCCCACCTACCTGCTAAGACTTGCAACCCCTACTGTCGCACATCACAGAGTATTTCTATCTTTTTTCCAGATTCCATACTGCTCTTAGTGGTATGGAGTTTGCCCACAGTCAGTCACTGCATGTGGACAGGCTCTCCAGCTCTGGGTGTGAGGAGGGGACAGTGACAGATGTGTGTTTTGGGGGAGGGGCGACTGCTTCTAAGCTGCTGTTCC